CAAATAAAAATTTATGTTTGGAGAAAATGCATTTTGTGCCGAAGCAACGGCGTACGAATATCTTCTTTGCCTCATGTAAATACTTATTAGACAGTAGAAAGAAATATTAAATAACCAAAGCAGCCAGTGCAAATTAAAACGGCGACCCCCTCATAAGTACAGATAACAAAACTTTCTAATAAACAAATCTGAAGAAAAAAAATGCACAAAACTTTTTTTCGTAACGAAAATTAATGTTATTTACATTTCAATTTCTTTAATGAGGCGGTAAAAATGCACTAATAATCGATGGATACGATTTATCTCCATATACTTACAGCAAGCAATCAGCAATACTCGAGCCCGCAACAATAATAAGGAATAATAATCATAATAAAATCATCATTAATAATAATAATGATAATAATAATGATTATAATAGTAATTATTTTCGTTAACGATATGTTAGCCTAATCCGTATAAACACAGCGACATCAAAACATCGTTTATATTATGTGTAGAAATTAATTCATATTTATGTATATAACATACATATATATATAATATATATATAAAACATTTTGCAAAAAAAATCACATTTAACGGCGAATTACCTGAAAGCTCGTGCACCTGCCGGTGGTACATCTTCGTTTCCGCGACGCGAAAACGAGTGCGTCGCGTCGCGATGCGTCGCGACGCCAACACAACACAAGGGTGCGGCGAACGCGAGAGGGTCTCGAGACCGGCACGCCGGTCCTAGGCCGGAAAATCAAAGGAAGCCGTCTCTTATCAGCGATACGTGTGCGCGCGCATTCGCATTCGCGGGGAAGCATCCCCTCTAAACGAACTCGTCAATTTGGGGGATATATAGGGTGTCTCGGAAATCAAGCGTATCTTCGTAAACATAATAAAAACACAGTAGTTCTTTTTCTTCTGAACGGACATTATCTAATCATCAATTCAACTAATTAATTAATAGATACGTTATCGTAGATCATCAATATGGTTTCGCGAATGAACTTGTTAGAATCGGGTCTACGTAACTTTGTGCGAAAACGTTAATTACGTTAAATTTAAATGGACTATTCCGCATAGAGGCGAGTGAAAAAATAAACAAGCTTGAGGTAGATATGCCGATTTATTCAAAAGATTCGTTCACCTGGAAATTTCGCCAAATTAATTGCGATATTATTTCATAAATTAATGTTTAGCAATACACCTAAATCAACGCGCTAATTACAATGCGCAAAAATAATATTCGTACAGCAAGATTGATTCGCCAAGTATTATTTATCTCCAGATAATTATTCAAATATTTTTCAATAAATAATAAATAAATAAATTTCTCTCTCAACAGATTTCGAATATAAAATATAAAATAAAAAATAAAATACATAAAATATTTTTTCGTTACACATAAAATATAAAATCTCAAAAGATTTAAATTACAAAATTTTTATTGGCATTAAAACGTTAAAAATCATATATACTTACCGATAATAAGTTATATATTTTAAAGCAATATTTATGTATATAATATATATATATATATAATATATATATAAAACATTTTGCAAAAAAATCACAGTTACTTAAAACACCTTAGTTTCCACTCTTTTCAATCTCTCTCTTTCTTTCTTTCTTTTTTCTCTCTCATTCCGTTTTTCTCTCATACATACATTTTTTTTGTCGCACCAGTTTATAATCGACGTGTCGGGAATAATCATCCATGTTTAATTATCAAACTAATAATTAAACAAAAAGTATGTCGCAACCGATTTCGTAGGACTCTTTACACATTTATCTTCTCGCAAAACGGTTGAAAGACTCATTTCGTGATTCGAATCGAATAACTTTTTGCTAAGTCTCACGAAAATCTAGTAAAATTAAAACATTATTATAAAAATATCGAAGAATTTGCAATCTTTGATAATTTTTTAATTATCAATTCCAATAAGATCAATTTCAAATCAGATTTCTCAAAAACACAAGGTCTTTTTCTATAGGGTATGTATATTTCCAACATAATAAAAAAAATTAATCGTTAACAATTTGTTAATTGGACAAATTAATATTTTAATGGAAGAAAATCGCGTCGAGGCAGTGGCACAACATCGATGTAACAATAATCAGGATTTCTTAAGTACTTCCTGCGGTTTTACAATATCTTTCTTAGGATTCAAACAAATGTCCGATCTATTATTTTTTTTTTTCTCTGAACTAGAGAAAAAAAATAATGGAATAATTCGCGAATGCTCAATATAGTTTTGGAACTTTTTTGGGTTACAATAATAAATATTAATAAGTTGCATTTCTTTTTTTTAAATTAATGTTGCTGAGTTAAAGATTAGCAAATTTTTATCATTTTAATAATCTGCAAATGTAATTTTTAGAATTCTGTTTATCAATTTTTTAAGACTATAAAAATCTGTTAGATAAAAAAATTCACACTTTAATATTTTTAATTTTCAGTTTAAAGATGCAAATTGAAAATTCTTTATTACCGCATAAGTTTCTTTTAAAAAATTCTGCTTCTATTGTTAATTAATGGTTTTAGGAATCAAAATTTATCTATGGCTGTTGTACAAAGTTGCTTTACAATTATCGTTGCTCGAAGATCAAACGATCGATTGTTTAATTACACGGCAGTGTTGGCACGAAGCGTAAACATTGGCTGTCTTTGTGTCTCGAAGAGGAATAAAAATTTACATTTAAATACAATCCCAAGCATACACAGCATTTCCTGTCCATCTGCGAATCGAATCATTATGGTGGCCATCGGAAATAATTAATAACTATTACCAATAATTCATATACTTAATCCCTCAAACACGAGTCGTTTCTCTTTCTCGCAAAAACCCCAAAGGGCACTACATAGATAAAAATTAAAATGTATATATAAGTACTTTTTCTTATTTTTTATGTATATATATTAAATCTGAAAAATATACTGCATATAATAATGTGCAGCCTGAGATAATGGTTTCTTAGATAATTGCAAATTTTTTAGTAATGATTTAATGATTAATTTTTTGGATAGTATAGCGAATCACGTCGGTCGAAACATTTGAGAGATTAATCAACGAAGGAAATTACGAACCTCACAGTGAATACTTAGAATAATTAGTCTAGAGATATCTAGATAGCAAGACTTTTACGCTATCGTCCGCTTGGCAAGCCGAGGACAGAAAAGCCAGTGACGATGGCAGTAAATGTTCGCTACTTGATTCGCCGGGAGCTAGTCGACCGCACAAACATTGGCCGTTTTTGTCGAAAATAAATGAAAATTTACATTTAAATATAATCCTACCACAGGCACCGCAAAAGTCTCGTGAAAACATATGAATCATCAATATCCAGTGACGAGATCATCTAAATATATTATATTATTAAAATATTAAAGTATTACGATTCTACGAGATAAAATCTACGATTTATTGTATATTCGAAATTTCAAGATTTACGAATATAAGAATAAATTCTTAGAAATTCAAAGGTCGAAAAAAATTTAAAGATATTACAACCATGTCAACAATCAATTTAAAAAATATTTATTTTTTAGCAATATAATTAAAGTTGTTATTTATGAAACGAAAAATCAAATTAATCGACGATAGTTAATCGGGTCTACCGATGCGACTAGCTCCAAGCGATTGATTGCGAAACAAATAGCTGACAGAACATCGATCAATAACTATTTCATTAGCGCTAAAGGGTATGTACAAAATTTTATATGTTACACGACAATTCCGATCCGTCATTAATGCAAGCGCTCATGGGAAGTCAGCGTTAACTCATACATGTGACGTCAAAGCGTTATCTCATCGGACTTCGGTCATTATCGTCATCAATAGTAATAATTATTACTAAATAAAGAAATGTACGACAAAATCGATTATAAAAATCTTGTCAAAGATCTATAATCAAAACACTTCAAGCTTCGTAAGTTCAAAACAATCGCGGATTCAAAATCCGAAAATCACAATTAAAGATTCCAAAGACTTTAATATGCAAGTGTTTAAATTTATCACATAAGCTCTACAAATTAAACCCTCAATATTTCACAAAAATCTTTACAACTAATATGCAAAATTTGACGAAAACAACAGCGTCGATAAAAAATGTTAAACAAAAGTTCGGAGATGTAAATTATTTTCTGATAGTGTCTCAGTCGGTACTTTCTTGCCGCGAGCGCTTTAATTATCACGCCGACGGATGCTCGGCAGTAAGGAATGGTTACCAGAGAACTTCCCTTAGGAGAGGACGTTGACCTCGCGGGGCGAGCCGCAGACGTTCAACACGCTGCTGGTCGAGTTAGGCGTGACTTGACTCCGAGCTTCATTCTGGGCCTGCCGTATTGCTTCCTTGTACGGGCCGCGCTTCTTCTTGTTATACCGCGTCTAAACAAAATCAGATTCACAACTATTATCGACAATTCTCAAAAGTCAGCATATATTTTACTGCTATCATAAAATTAACTTCAAAATTTAACTTCTTCGTGTGCCTTTATTGCTTGAATTAATTTAATTTATTTTTATATTATATTTTATTTATTTATATTTTTATTATGTATACATATTTAAAGGAACATACTTTAAAGGTTTCCAGGAAGGGGCTCAGTTGATCGCAGGACATTAGCGAACTCGTTGACGATCCGTACCAAGCCACGTGAGCTTGAGGACCCGACGAGGTGCCGTCTTCCTTGCAGGACACTGTGATACTTAGGACCTGCATGTTACAAGATACGATGATAGTTATTACGACAGAACTGTAGAATTCTCAAGATTAATTTTTTTCCAAAAAAACTCATATACAAAAAAAGAATGATTTTTCCAAAATTTCAGCATATTTTTGCGCGATATCTAACGTCTCAAATTAAAAATTTATTAATCAAAGAGTATGCTCTTTTAAAATACTTTGTACGTACCTTGCCGGGCCACCAAGGAAAACCATGAATTTTGCCCCAGACAACGTCGCCCACGTCCATTCGCCTGCCATTGGCCGTGAGGCAGTGTGCCACAGGTGTAGCGGCCAGGCGCATGACCAGAGGATGCGACTGATGCGGCGGAAAGTCCGGCGCGGTCTCTACTTCTGGCTCGTGCTCGCTCAACTCGTCGCTACTACCGCCAGAGCTCTTGCAGCCAGAGGATGCATTACTCACGGGATAATCGCAGCGTGCATACGCGTTCGTGTTGAGCCTCTTCAAGGATATCGACAGTTTTTGCTTCAGGCACTGCTCCTTGATAGCTCTGTAGGATTCACCGTTGCCTGGCAAAACGTTCCAGTTTTGCTGATGCTGCTGTTGTTGTTGCTCCTGCTCCTGCTCTTGTTCCTGTTCCGCGGAATCCGGACAAGGTTGCTCAGACTCGGGTTGTTCTTGTTGTGGCTGATTCTTGTGCTTCCGGCCCTCCTTGTGCTTCTTTTTATGCTTCACCTTATGCTTCCGACGATGGTATGAAAGTGGATCGTACGTGGGGTTGTATCTAAATAAATTGACATAACATTATCATTTCACTTCTCCTCGTCAAAAATCTTTAACACATACACATACAACATATATACAATAACTAATAATTATTTTAAAAGTTAGTTATAATATAATCATAATAATGTGTTTTTATAGATATTTTATTTATGTAATTGCATAAGTTATGAGTCTTTGGATTTATGTAATTTTCATATTCGACGTCATTCGATGTCGCGCTCTTACCTCGGCGATCCGTTGCAAGGCGATCTCGCTGGTGACACTCCGCCCAACATCTTCCTCCTAGCTTCCTTTTTCGCTTTCTTTAAAGCCCGTTTCGCCGCCTTCGCGCTGGCGTCCTTTACCACACCACCCTGCTTCTGAGGATCTACTTGCTCTTGCCCATCCTCCTCGCCCTCGTAATCATTGCCGAAGGATCTGGGTAATTCCAAGGGATCTCTTTCTTGTTGGATATCGTCAGTGTCATCGGTCTCCTGCTCGTACGCATCAGGATCTTGAGGTTTCGCAGGTATTTTAAGCACAGTTCCCTCGCCCTGCGCGCCAAAAGAGATTTTGATCACCGGCGTGGTTCTGGCGGTCCTCGTAGGATCCTCAAATACTGATTCGTCCCAGAGATCCTCCATCGAACCCACCGAGCGTTTCTTCCTCGGTACTCTGCCAGTTTTCAATCTCATCGTCGAATCCGCGGCCGCAAAGGTTTTCTTTTCCTCCTCCTCAGGAACTTTCGCGCTTTCCACCGACGAACTACTTAGCCTTCTCGGCGTAGCGCAATAGGCCATTGAAGGATTGTTGTCACAGTCGGCGGACGATTCCACTCGTTCCTGTGATGACGTTAATACATTCCTTAAAGACGCCTCCTCCTCGTTGCTAACAGGCCAATGCGTAGATTGCGCGCTCGCTGCAACCTTCACCTTGTCTGAAACAATCATTCAGATGTATTAGATCTTTTCTTGATGAGTTTTTAGTTCTCCATACATGTTTAACATGTAGATCACATAGCATGTTTAACATGCTATTGATCAACGTTACTAAATCTGGAAAATTAAATAAATCGCAAGAGCGCAAATTATTTATTAAAGAAGAGAAATTGATTAAAATGCCTCGCATTTATTAACTTTCAAAACAATACTGACTCAAAAAACAAATTAAAATCTCAATCACTTATATCCACAACTTTATTTGAGCTGTTATCTTAAACTTTCCAACATTAGTATGCTAACGTTAATAATTTTTTTCGTCAAAAGCGTAACAAGTATGAAAAATAAAATACCAGATAATTGACCGGAGCTTTGCATTGCGTTACTAATCTCATTAGGCTGCAATCTGGACAATTTCGGAATCAACGACGCCCCTAGCTTCGACGAATCACCACTCGAGGTTGTCGTCTTCGTCGTCGCTTGATTGGAGGTCGAATTTTCAATCTGACACTCCGATAACAGCGTTCGCTGTGTCTTCTGCGGTTGTTGACCGCAACGTCGATCACTTCTTCTCGTCGAGCCCGGAACCAGCTGGTGGAATCGCAAAAAAGTTCTTTACTTTCGTGCATTATAGAAGTTGATTTAGATCGGAAATCTAACATGTAGCAATTTCGTTGAAACTTCGATAAGATTAATAGGTTTAACATTAACACAAAAGAATTAATCGTTTATCAAAATCTAAGAATCTTATCAGAAGATCCCAGATTCACTGATCTACGTTATCGCATTTAACGATATCAAAAATTATGAGTTTCACAAGTTTTAAAAAAAATAAGTTTAAATTTCCTTCTCTTAAGATTTTTTTTTACATTATACATTATATACATGTTATCTCAGGCAACATTCATAATACCTGCTGCGATTGTCGTTGCGCTTCTTCATGCTTTCGCTTCCTGCTCACGTCGACATTCTCGCTGTTTTCGTTACATATCGATCGGCATTTGCTACAGAGTACCTGACGAGGCCTCAATCTCACCGTGGGTCTCGCGTTCTTGTATCTGGCGGGCGGATTAATGTTCCTGCGAAGGTCAACCTTGGCGACAACGGCGGTCGACGACGCGGACGACGCGTTTTTCCGTTCCTGAAAGTAGCTGAAGCGCGCGGCGATCGTCGCCAGCTTGTCGCCATCAGGGTCCGGTACTGGTTCCGGGGGTTGAACACCGCAGGGAAGGCCTCTGCAAAAACATAATAATTTGTAACGCATTATTTTATCACATCCCCAAAATTTAAATGATATCTGAAAACATCAAACGACGAATAATAAATATACCCTCCTTCTTAAAAATTTGTTGAAATTACAACACTTGATTTTAGAGATTAGATTGTAAATGAATCATCGATGATAGATTAACTTGAAACAAATAAAGCGACAACAAAATTAAAAATAATTGTTTGTTTAATTTCCCTTTATAAGAAATATAATGCTATTTTTTATTTCTTTCATGCAAAATCTGCTTTAGTGATTTCTTTGGCTCTTTACTCCTGTTTTTCGCTCAAAAAGATTTCGTAAATTAGTATATGTAAATATCTATCGTTAAAAGTAACAAGTGATTTATTTTCTCAATTTTAAGACTGATTTTTCGACGCTTTCTAAATGTTTTCTCGACTTTAAGATTAATTTTCTCAAGTCCATCGAGTTAGATTATTGCGTTGAATCCTTCAAATGGAAACTGTCGCAAAATGAGAATGGCTAGGCAAAAGGATTGGGCAACGCTTTCGAGTATGCTTCGTCGGCTTCTCGTGCACCGACAACACAGCCATGTCATGGTATTGATTCGAGAGAAGCGTACAATGAGCGACAGCTTCTGACGGTATATCCATTAATATTTTCTGGGTTTCGATACGAGGCAGACCCTCGAAATTCCGAGTCAGCCCGAGCGAGGGAAGAAAAATTGCTGGGAGAAAATATCGAGAATCAGCAGATTTGATTCGGACGTGAAAATGATTATGATGAAACTGATAAATACGTATAGTCTCCCCGCTTGTCCAATTTGTAATAAATTTGCGCAAAAATATGCTCCTACGCAGCCACAAATTAATGAAAATTCCAGGATCACCTCAATTCTTTTTTCTACTCATTTTACTTTAATCGTAGACCTTAACATAGACTTTAACTTTAAATTTAAATAAATTTAAAGAGACTCTTAAACAGCCAGGAGCTTTTATTTAGTAAAACATCAAATGTTGTCAATCTTCAACTTGGCGCAACTCAGTTATAATTTATTTTTCCGACGTCAATTATCTCGTTAAAAACAACTGTAACAACTGGCTCATTTCTTAAGTTAATAAAGCAGGCGGTTAACGTGGACTACGATGTGGTATACGTGGCTATTTCTCTGCTTTTGTGTCCACGCACACATTTGCAGTTTCGACCCGCAAATGGTGGCGTTCTCAGAGACGTCGACGATATTCCCTTTGTTCCTGACGAACACGAGACCACTATATTGGGGGTTCTCAACCTTGGATCGTACGTGAGCTGCACAGCTGGGACGTGTCGGAAGGATCAATAAATTCCGTTCCGCAGCCTATATATATATATAATAAATTCATGCCCTTGGACTGTCACCCACTAATTAAGTTATCGATTTGAAGTCAATCTTTCCCAAACGTAAATATAATAGAGCGTTCAATAAGAATTCTATTAGAATAATCTGTTGGAAATTTTGATAGAAAGCAATCTTATTAAAATAAATTAATATATATGTAATTTCTCATACATATATCTATAATTGGTATAAATACCGTTTATAATTATCAAAACTTTTCAGAAATTAATTCTGCTACTAATATTCTTCTTAAAAAAAAAAAGAAGGCAAAATTAATGTTTTCTTTTGCTCAAAGAATGATTTTATTAGTTGATAAATGTAAATATTTCGCTAATTCCTTTTACAAAATTCTTTTAAAAAGTTGATTCCGGTATCAATGATTTTTTTTCTATGATAAAATAAGAAGAATTATGGAATATGTAGCGAAAAAAGATATGGGAACCTCTGCCGCACCATACCGTCGTGCACAACGTGACACAAGCCAGGCCTGGCTGGTCGGTGGCCCCGACTAACATCCAGGGCCGTAAGTAAGATTCTTGCCATCTGTATTACTTATTTTTCCGATATCTCGTTCAGTAAAATTTGACATTATACATTATAACGCAAAAGTAGATCAATTACATAATAAATAAAAAACACAATCTGATATTGTCATGCCAAATATTACTGATAAGAACCAAAATAACATATATGTCATTGTTACACGGCAATAGTCATAAAGGAACAATAAACAACGCAATCCAGATAGCTACTGGAGTCTTTTCAATAATTATAACTGAAATTCCAAATTCAGATATATTACTGATCGGGTCTTAAACTATCCCTTTGTCTCTGTTTAGGGCCAGTCTTGGTCGTGCAATTGCGACACGAGACTGCCATTAGTCGGCCGGCTTGCCCAAGAAAACCTAGAGTGCGGGGGTAAGAAAACAGGCAACAGCTGTTCAGTCGTAGCGAGAAGCCCAGCTCTGGACTCATGGGGCACATATCCCCGGCTGCAATGTATTGTATACGCTGAGAAAAAAGACAACTGCATGAAGAGACGAATAAAACTAGCGATTGCACGAACAAAATTACCACTTGGGTGAACGGGACACGTTTAAATAAAAGACTTTCGAACGATAAAAACCAGGGGAGATACAGTTTCAAAGTTATATCGGAATTATATCCATCTTCGAAGTCGAATTAAATTGGATAATTGCACAAAATTGTGTAAAAATAAATTGAACAGCGAGCAAATTTTTTTGAACAAATTCCCTTTGAGATATTCAATTAATCCAATTTATAATTAATAATAAAATATAATTCGCGCATAATTAATAATAATTATATTCAAATATATAAATACTTTGATGATTTAGTAGAAAACTTTGATAATAAAATTCAATTAATTAATTATTCGATAAACTTGGTTTATAATACTTGATCGAGTACAGTTTATAAAATTTCATATTATGTGCACCGTCTCGGCTATACATAGAGAATTAGTCTTTCAAAACTTTTCGAATTAACTCACGTTAAACGCTGCTCAACTTAGTGCAACAAGTACTCAGTTGATTTCTCAATAATCGAAATGACTACTCAACGAGAAATTACCAATGATACAACACCAATGGCTATAACATCGAGGTGGCGTTCACTATGCGAGACCATGAGTCACCACGGCGAAGTTTTTTTAATGTGTACTGGGTGACACGAAACTTTCCTTGTTTTTTATTCTATCAATATTTCTCAAGTAATCGAAGTCCACCTTGCCTCGATGTAAATTCTATTAAATAAAGAAATTCATTATTTTAAATAGACTTCATTTCACATTAAAAACGAAAGTAATTTGATGTGCAACATGTGCGATATATCGCGTGAAAGAAATCGCGATATAATTATAATCCGTCCAATTATCGCCGAAGAAAATTTCGCCATCAGATTGATCGGAGAGAATCGCGAGAAAAAGTATGCGACTTGCGAGACACCGTATATATGTAAATATACGCATATATGTAAGTGGAGAAGAAAAATGGATGAAAGATGTAGCATCTTATGTTCGCGACAGACGAGCCACGTAAAGTAAAGTTCGAGGAAATTCTCACAAATTCGTCACGCCCATACCGTTGACTGGCGCCAAGCGAAGAGGAGAGGCTGAAACTTTTTATTAAAAATTTTGCAGATAACTTATCGAAATTATCAGACCTTTCGGCACACTCGGGACCTGTTTACATCTCAGAGGAAGTATGATATATTTCGTGCCAAGTTTGCATAAGTTGCTGACACTATCGTGGAAGCGACGGCCGCCGGATGACGTCGCGTCGCCTTCACCGCGGCAACTTAATCCTCGGATTGTAGTAATTGAATATCTCGACCCTCAATAAGCGAAGAGGAGAGGCTGAAACTTTTTATTAAAAATTTTGCAGATAACTTATCGAAATTATCAGACCTTTCGGCACACTCGGGACCTGTTTACATCTCAGAGGAAGTATGATATATTTCGTGCCAAGTTTGCATAAGTTGCTGACACTATCGTAGAAGCGACGGCCGCCGGATGACGTCGCGTCGCCTTCACCGCGCGGCAACTTAATCCTCGGATTGTAGTAATTGAATATCTCGACCCTCAATGTCATCCTATATATCCTGAATCTCGCGAAGCTTGAACCTTACTATCCAAATTTTACATTCATATCTGAAAAATTTTTCAGAAGCATGAATAAAGCAATATAAACGCTAATATAAAAAATGACTTATATAAAGTCCTTTTTTAAAAGATCTCTTCAACTAAAAGTAATTAATATTCTTTTATATCATATTTCTTGATTTCACAAATATTACGATGGTACATGCTTATATATATATACATATTTTAATATATAAATTTTGTTGCTTATGTCATTCTTACATCATTCTATATGAAATAGATTAGGCTCAAAAGTTCAGGATCATTGAATTCTAAGAATCAAAAATTATATACGAGAGAGTCGATGGTATTTTTGTGACCGCCTAATTTTACACCGATTATGTAACAATTCCTTTTGAAGCTCTAGCGTGCTAGAGAGATTTGAAACATTGATGGTTCCGAATTTTTAAGTTTTTAAAATATAACATCTCCTTGAATTTCGCGATAATTAAGAGAGTTCAAAATTTTAAATTATATAAAATTATATAATATTAAAGCAAATAACTTGTATATTAATTTTATTTCGGTAGATCCTTTTTCATCTATTAAGCCCTTTCAATCTTGATATACGGTAGTTCTAGAATCTTGAAAGCCTCAGATATTCTTAAATTCAATAATTATGAGCGAAAAATTGTACAGCAATGCAATCTATAAAATGGATTATGAATAGAATTCCATGAGGATCCTCGAGTCTCTCTGAATATTTAAAATTCAAAGTTTTAAATCCTTGACTTCTTGCACGTTCTAGGATGTCGAGAATCACGTATCAAATCATCAGTATCAAATTCAAGAGAGATTAACCATTCCTAAAATAACATGAAATTTGTTTTTCGAAAACAACAAGCAGTTTCTTCTGATCAGAGTACGATTACAACTATCAATGAAACAGCATACGTCAATATCTAGCTTTGAAAATCTTATATCTTTGACTTCATGTGTTCTAGAATATAGAAATGTCTATTTGAAATCGAAGAAAATAGCAACCTACACAAACAAGATAATGCACAAGAAAACGCAAAAGAGCCTAGTCATTAATATCCGCTTCGAACAATCGTGACTCTGGAATATGATATTGGCGATCGAAAGAGACTTTGAAAAAAACAAAAGCTATCCAGAAATTCTCAGACTTCTGCCACTCATACTTTAACATTTGACTACCTGAAAAAATCAACAAACCCTAGATAGACCTAATCATCAGCTTTTTTATTGAACATTCCATTATGCATTTGTCCAAATAGTACAAAGGTACTTTGATCTTTGGACACAATCAAGTTTCGAAGACACGTATTATCTTCGGGTTTAAGAACAAAAATCGTCCAGGAATCAACGATCCAACATTCCTCATCAACATCGATTTAGCAAGAATCTATCATCACTCTTTTGCAAAAACCTGATCCTAAGGATCGTCAAATGGATGAATCACCTAATCTCCAACTAGTTTCGAGCCGTCGGAAACCTTGGGCTTCAGCGACGGAAATCGCGCAAGGGCCCTTCTCTCTCCGAGGAATTTTTCGACACTGACGGAGTGCTCAACAAGTTGAGCATTACATTGACAATAAAACAATTATTCTTAATGGACAAAAGGTAATAGTAAAAAGAGACTGATGATGGGTACACGAGTTCTTTCCTTCATCGTTCTTTCTCTCCCTTGATCTTACCTCTTGGCGGAGTCGAGGAGCGCACCTTGGAAGCACTTGGCGCCGTGGACGAAGGATACCACGAGGATGTCGGGCAGCGCGGATTCGACGGTCACGAGGATCTTTTCGCCCGTGGCGAGCGCGAGGTGCGCGGATGGGGCCTCCGTCGCTGCGGCCGCCATCTTGCCTCGAATTTAGAGTTATTGCGAGCGAGCGTGCGAGCAAGCTGGTGGTGTGCGGTATGGTGTGGGCTTTGCGCTCTCCGCTCCGCTCCTGTCCGCTCCGCTACGACCGAGCCGACCGAGAGGAGCGATCGGCTCGTCTCGTATCGTCGTCTCTCGCGCGTCGCGCCACTCTGCGTCGCGACGCACCGCCCCTTGTTTCTCTCTCTCTCTCTCTCTTTCTCTTTCGCTCGCTCGCCCGTTCCTAGTTAGCCAAAGCCGGATGACGTGAGGAACACGATAGCAACGGCTATGTGTGGAAACCACATGAGGCGGGCGGTAAGGCTTTAGGGTCAGGGGGAAGGGTGGGGAATTGAAGGAAGTAAGGGCATTGAGAGATAGAGAAGTATACGGCCTGGCAGCACAGCTGGCCGCTCCATCATCCTCGGTGCGCTTGCGCGCGCTGGAGGCGGATCGTCGCATCAGGTCCGTATACGCGAGGGTCCCCGAAGAAATCATCTGGGATCCTCGCTTTCATCGTGTATAGGTCGTAGATAATGATACCAACTAATTCCAGATTTCCAGAGAGAAAATTTGCGCCAATTAAAATATGACATTGTAACGTGTATCAGTATACGGATGATGACGTAAGGTTGAATCACGTTGACAGTTGACATTGTTGTCAACAATGTTGCAACGATGTAAAGGTGATGTAGCGCGACCACCCCATTGAGAGGTACCTCGCCGGTGACAGTAGCGTAGCAAGGAGCCTTCTCGTTGCGACTTCTGCTCTTCCTTCGGTTCGGCAGTCGTCGACATCGAAGAATGAAACGGCCGAGAACGGCCGAGCGCGGCTCCAGAAGCGGCGCGCGTCTCACGGTAAGCGAGTGACGGATTTATGCTTTAATAAAGCGTTGCATAAGCGACGCAAGTGCGACGAGAAGACGAATCGCTTGCACCGAGAAATTCTTCTCTATGTCTATGTTGTAGCTGGATGGAGGATTTAATGTAAAGAGCAATCGGTTGAACCCCCTACTGTGGTTGCCGGCGCAACGACGAAGGTACATGCTCATCGAAAGAACTGGATCGCCCTTCGCGACTTCTCCGAGACGGGGTCGATATCGGTTGAAAGATACAAAGTGACGTGAGAGAGGAGTGTTGACACAACGCGTGTATGTCCCGTGAAAAGTGCGTGCTCTCAGCGTGTGGTACATCCACGTCTGTTAAGCTATGTTCATACGTTTTTGTTAATAGCTGGAAATGATGAAGGGTTGTTCACACTGACGTCGATAGAGAAAATCTTCTTTGGAGAAAGCAACCCCTGGAGAAAATAATAAATTTACATATTAGCATGCAATCAAGTTAAAGCTGCTTTAATTACATTAGATTATCTAATGGCAATATAAGTGTGAAGGGAACCAATTTTATTTAATCAATCGTTACGAGTTCTCATATCGCTTTTCATTTTGATTAATTTAATTAATGAAATTTCAACTCATTTTAATTAAATAAATTAATGATTGAAAAGCGTACCGGATCCTTTGACGCATGTGATACACTCATGCGTCAATCTCGGTTGATAATGACTTAGCACTGACACACGTGAATGGCACACCTTCGATAATCTTCGATAATGTTCATAGGTGTTTACCGATTCCGTCATGATGTTGCGAATGATCTCACGTCACTCCGACTTTCGAGGAATGCGCCTTTATCTTATTTCGTGCGTGACATGGTTGCTCATTACATTTCCCTAACACCAGAATTTCAATCATTATTTCTGCCTTTCTATAATAGATGTTTTGATCTGCAAAAGCTTTCTTTCAAATTGCGTTCGGGCAATCGTTATCATTTCGATCTCATTACAGTTATTTAAAAATCAGAGCTCATATCTTGTTGCAACTGATAATTAAACGCGTATTCGCACAAATGCAAGCTTTCGAGGTTTCGCGCTTGCATCTGTAGTTTCAATCTAAAAGAACCGATAAAAAAAATTTGTTTTTTTTTTTTTTAATTTGATGTAATATCAGAACACGTACTTTAATTCTGTGCTGCCAAAAAAATATCTTCTTTCTCTCTAACAAAATAATTTAAAAATATGTTTTATATGTAAAAATAAATTGAGGAAATAATATCAATGAAATAAATCTCTTTCTCTCTATGTCTGTACACTTCAAAGACAAATTCAAATATTTCCAGATTAAATATTAGGTGGTAGGCGTTATATATTTAGTAACTTTAAAATTGTGTGTGAGTGTTGACGTACGAAGAAGAAGTTAAAGGAAAAAAAAAAACGAATAAATATGGCTTCAAGTCGATTTAAAAATTACAATAAGTAATGTGTAAAAAGCTAATTTTGTATATTAAAATAATTTCACAGAGTTAGTTCTTCGCGTTAAAGAAAATTTGCATTTAGCTACATACACCGGTTTCTTTTGCTTCAAACTATTATCATTCATTCTACTCGTGGAAAATGTCGCGTATTATATCTTAGTAACAATGAGCAAAAATTCTTTCGTATATGTTAAAAGTGCTCGACAAACGCCGTGCACTATTTTTATGCGCAAAACTCGCGCACTAAAATATATCCTCACTTTTGTCAGACTTCTTGTAACATTACGTAGATACGTACGGTTTATGTAAAGCGTACGAACGCGTCCATCATTTGATTGTATATCAAATGCGTATATCTTTTCCTGAAATATTACTCTCGCATTTTTTGGGACATTCTGTCTATCTTTTATGTCGCGCACATACATACAAACCAAATAAATAAATAAAAGTAAATATTAAAAAAGGATATTAAAAATTAATTAAAAGAATAATTTTAAAAAGTACTGAAAATCTTTCAATTTTTAAAGTTGATTTTCAAAGATTATAGCAATGACTTTTTCTTCCACTTACGAATTTTTCTTGATTAGATCTGTGCCGGAAAAATCTGATCTTGATCGTCCACGATGACGAACGAGAGACTGGATCTGGACAAGCCCCTGTGGGATCTCAACAATTTCGTGGGAAGATGGAAATACTTTGCGTGGATGACCGATTTCCGTACTTGCACCGTGTCTGAATCAGAGTTACTAGCTGCTAAAAAGTTGTGCGAACAGTACAGGTGATGGCAAAAAATATGTACATCAATTTCAAATCAAAAATTATTTTCATAGAATCCACATTTATTGATCAATCGAGAAAATATCTAACAATAGGATTTAATATCTCTATGATATATTTCTGGAATATTTAATACATCTATTACGAATTTTCAAACTAATTGATAATTTGAATTTAAAATCTTATTAAATTAAAATTTGTTATCAAAAAAATAATGTGCGACAATATAGCGGAGTTTGCTGTTTTTACTCGATGTTTCATATTTTCTAATCATTTGGAAATTATTGTGTATACCTTTTAGGCTTGGCAAGGAGCCAGCCGAAACGACCAGAGAGCAAATCATCTATGCGAAGAAGCTGTACGAGTCAGCCTTTCATCCTGACACTGGCGAACTGCAAAATGTCTTTGGCAGAATGTCTTTTCAAGTGCCAGGTGGAATGGCCATCACCGGCGCCATGCTCCAGTTTTATAGGTATTACGCAGAATACTTTATGATTCTTCCCTTGTTATAATAAATATTGACATTTTTTCTTTTTAATCATATCAATATATTGATGAAATCGAGAATTTTCCAATAGCTGTAAAAAGAAAAGAATATTAATTATTTATTTTTAAATTGCATTTAATGTTAATGAACAATATTTTATTTTGTTTATTAAATTAAATAATATTTCACTTGTTGTTTCAAGAATTTTTTGCATCTGCAACAAATTTTGTTATATTTTTTTTTGGACACAAGATTTTGATTTAATTTCTAGAACAACGCAAGCGGTGGTTTTTTGGCAATGGGTCAACCAATCTTTTAACGCTCTCGTCAATTACACCAACAGAAATGCTAACAGTCCTATAACCACCAACCAATTAGGTGCAGCTTATATCAGTGCTACTGCCGCGGCGATGATAACCGCGATAGGATGTAAATCATATTGGGAGAAGCGTGCAAGTCCTTTGATGGCTGTAAGTTTTGCGCGCGCAAAGGCAATTAAAAAATTATATAAAGTAGATCTTAGATTTTATACAAATAATCCTTTTTTGGCATGATTTTAATTCACTAAAAAAAAATTGGAAAGTTGATGCAATTGGAAGTTTTTATTTTTCGAAGATGACCTGTATAATAATTAAAACAAAACTTTCTAAAACTCGTCCCAGATTGCTTTGAATCAAATACAACAGGTATAAACATTTCCAGAGGTATGTTCCATTCGCAGCAGTGGCGGCCGCTAATTGCGCTAATATCCCTCTAATGAGACAGAACGAAATCACAAACGGTGTGGATCTCATTGACGAGAACGGCAGAAAGCTTACGAAATCGAAGGTGAAAGACCTCGAGTCTATCTCTATTTAATTATGAAAATAAATGTTTTATATTTAATACTTTAAGCATATTAGAAAGACCTCGAGTCTATCTCTATTTAATTATGAAAATCAATATGCTTTATATTTCATACTTTAAGCATATTAGAATTTTGCAATAAACACATTAATAAATAATTTCAGCTTGCGGCCGTGAAAGGTATCAGTCAAGTCGTTATTTCGAGAATCATCATGTGCGCTCCCGGCATGCGTACGTATCAAATAAATATAAATCAATATACAAATTGCTTATTAAAATACTCTACGAATAGATTTCCAGTGCTATTAAAATAATACATCCAACTAATTAAAATAATAATTAATTTCCACAGTCATCCTACCACCTATTATGGAAAGATTAGAGAAATACGCATGGATGCAAAGAATTAAACCTCTACACGCGCCTATACAAATTATGATGTGCGGAATATCGTAAGTCACTCTGTTCTTCTTATATTTAATCTTAATTTCTTCCAGTCATATCATCACCATGTTGTTATTAAATTATTACACTAATCATTGAATATCGTCTGTGTCTCTTAGGCTAACGTTTATGGTGCCAACGGCATGTGCATTGTTCCCACAAAATTGGTAAATATTTCTACATGTCCTACATCTCTATTCCTCTCTTCTATTTTATTTTCATCTTATTCTATGTTTCGTTTCACAGTTCCATCAAGACAACTACTCTGCAGCGCTGGGAGCCAGAAAACTATGAATTGCTGAAGAAAAATTGCGAAGACGGTGAAATACCGAGGTATTTGTATTTTAACAAGGGATTATAATGTTATGAAAGATTCTTAAAGTTGTGTCCCCTAAATAAGCGTTATTCCATTCTTTGTAAATGTCGTTGTTTCAATTGACGCAATCGTGGCAAATCTTTCTGCTGGATCAGAAACGAAACGCGTATTCATAATAGAATTATTGTTAACAATTAGAGTCAATCCTTTCATCAATTCTTTCACGATTTGAAACATTGCATTTTGAAAGCAATACTCCGCACCGAAATGTTAATAACATTATTAGAAATTAGGATTTAGACACAAAATGTAATATCCATCGACGAAATACCATACAATAAAAAGTCGAGAATCGCAATGTAATAGAAACGATAAATAGCGAAAGATGAAACGTTGACAATATAGGTTTGGTGCTTTATCGAAATATACTCACATGTCAAATAATTACAATCTTATTAACAATAATTTTGTTTTAATAAACACTCAATGATCTTTCTCAGGCATTAGCGTTAATTTAAAAATTCCATATATTTTAAATATTATGAACGTTACTTTCTGTGTGCAGAATAATCTTAAACATTGGGGTATTATTTAATATTATTGTTAATATTATTTACCTCGCATTTTTTAACGTCTGTCAAAGGTAAATATGCTGCCATATCTAGTGATACAAAAAAACTTTGCTACATATATGATTAATAAAAAATTCAATAATATAGAGAGAGATAATTTATGTTAATAAACGTTGTTAAATAACTAAAGAACAATCATTTTGTTCTTACCAAGTTTTATCCATTCCAATGCTTTTATTAAGAAAATTCCATTTCTTGAAAGAACCTAATAATGTATAAAAGAGAAAATTTATGAATTTTACTTTTATTTACTAATTACAATCCTTTGTTATAATAAAGATAATCCGGATATTTGCGCTGGCCCATTTTCTCTCGAAATATTTCGTATTCCTCTGGATATATCTTTAACAATTCTGGCTTCATCGAGCTTGACAAAAAAAACATGTAATATTTAATTCCTTATTTGTGCAGCAAATAATATATATATTTGTATTATTTTACATATTTGAATCATTCTAATATAAATATAATTATACAAATTATATCAATTTCTTATTTAAAATTAATTCTCTTATACAGAAATATTGAAAATTAACTTAAACCTACTTACTTTTTTTGCGGGTAGATAGCAAGCGCTGAAGGGATCATGACCAATAAACTGCGAATGAAAAAGAAAATATTCTTATATTAACATCTTCCTAATTTGTCTTATTTTAAATATTGTTTGTTTTACTTTTATTATCGATATTGCAACTCAAAGGATTGCATGATGCAACAGGTTGCACAGTATCAATACTATTGCGTATTAGTTTGCACAAGGTTCAACACAGAGTTGCATACAAATCGATGTCGCGCAATATATTTTAGCGACACCATCATATTTGCGCGACGCAACGCAAATATGCACTGTAATAAAACTTACCTGAGCGTGCATAAGCCGATTTCGACGGGGAAAGCGATCCACGGACGAAGCTGATAGAAACAGTATGGTTGTATTCGCTGCGTGATCATTGGGATCATCAACATTCCCGGCGCGGCCATTATTATCCTGGTGAGGACGCACTCGGAAATACCCTTGACGGCAGCCACCTGCGACTTCATGATGCACACTTCGTCTTCGTTCTTGATGATTATGGGGATACCCCGCGTGATTTCTCGTTGCCTCATAATGGGAAGATTCACCATGTTGCCAATAGCCACCGCACAGAACGGAACGAATCTCTACAATGAATACAATTTTTTAAATTAATAATCATCAATTTTATGCATTTCTTAATTATAATTAATATCCCCGCAAAAATTCTCTAAATATCTAGATATAAGACGAAAAAAAAATTTTTAAAGTTTTTAATTTTAATTTTAAAAGAATAACAATTATAAAAATATGAAAATCTTAATATTTCTAGGTTTATATTAATAGTCGCTATTTTGGTAAAATATTTCTTTTAACATGTTTTTTGTGTGTTTTTTTATTTGGATAGAATACGGGACAAAAACGATTTAGAATGCGTGTATTAACTACAAAGAGAGTTCCTCTGCCAGAGAACAGCTTCCTGAATCCCAAAGCGGCCGCGCAACTCGCCGCAGTCGCGAGCACGAAGGCTTGTTGATTCACATCGGTATCTTGTGGTTCGTCAATCATCGCATTTCGATTGGTGTAATTGACAAACGCATTGAAACCTTGATTAACCAACTGGCACACTATCACGCCGCTAGCGGATCTGATCAAAGTGCGCGCATAATAAATAGATTGAATTGGAAAAGGGATTTATATGTGCGGAGATGATTATTTATTATTTATAGAAAAGTCAACCTGTAGAAAGTCAACATAGCGGCGGTGAGAACGACGGAACTTGGTAACTGGAAGGACATTCTGCCTATCACATGCATAAGTTCGCCGTTATCGGGATGGAAGGCGCTGTCCCTGAGCTTTTTCGCGTAGATTATGTCTTTTCTTTGCAGGCCTTCCGGCTCCTTGCCGATTCTAAATATTAATTTTTAATTAAATACGATTACTATTAATTAAAATAATACACTGTTTATTTAATAAATAATAATTCGCAAGTATTATATTTTATCTCTTAAACAGATGTTATTTTTATATAATAATCCTATAATAAACTTGTTTTCCGTAAAATTAATTCAAAACATAAAAATCGCAACTCACTTATAATCCTCGCAGAGCTTCTTCGCCTCCCACAATTTGCTTGTCGGTACGAGGACCGTGCGACAATCGGTGATGAAAGCGTAATGCATCCATCTTCCAAAATACGTATCTTGACTCCAAAGTGGTTTGTCGACGTCAATTCTATCTTCAGACTCATTTCTAAGATCGCCGTCCTTTCTCTTCATTATTTGTTGCACAATTGATAGCGTCTCTCCCATTTCAACAAAATTCTAAGTACTATAAGCTACTACAATATATAAATAACAGCTACACACAATAAATGCAGAAAATTTTGCAGAAGATTATAAATAAATTTTTAAGAAAATCACTTTGTTTTCAAACTAACTTTGTGTTTTAGACAGGACAAAATTAAAAGAGATTAAAGATAAAAAATGTGCCACATAATTTTGATAAGATTTCCGACATTTTTTGCCTCATAAGAAATATATTAACGTTTACTTGATTTATATAGAGTAAATAGTACGTTTTTGACTGTCACAACAGTATTTGACAGTATGTCATGAAATCATGACTGAATTTTTTTTTATTGGCAACATTGTGAATATGCTCGCAGAATTTTTGTTGCTTCGATAACTCGTGGCATCTTTATATCATTATAAAATGTAAAAAAATAGACCGACAAAACTATATATATAATATACGTTAATTTTTATAGTTGTATATAACTGACTTTTTTTCAAACAAATGTACGAACGTTTTAAAATTTTACAAAAAACTTCTATGGGCAATTATTTATATGCAATTCGGTTTATGAAATTATAATCTTAGAATTAATAATAACCTATCTAACAATTATATCTTAGAATTAATAACAACCTAGAATTATAATTAATAACATTCTAAAATTTGTATGTAGCTTCTACAGGCGCTTACTTTGTCGTGCACATTCGATTTTCATTATTATTGTTCATTATTCTAAAGGTACACATAAACATAAAAACGGACGTTAGATAAACAATCATTTCCAAGTGTTGTTCAAAATATTTCTTGTCACGGCAGTCTTCTTCAGTCTTTCCAGAAAATATTAACGCGAGACGGGTCGTGTCCTCCAGAACTTTTGAAATTATCATAATAAAGTTACATTAGCATCATTAATATTGTTTGATATCAAACAGTTAGTTCTTTAGATTTCTCCTGTAAGTTTAAATGGTAGACAGCAATAATAACTTGCGCGCATAATGTCCATCCTACTCCTTTGGTTACTGTTGCGTAGCGTCAACATTTTAATGTACCAAACTATTCTAATGATAGTTCAACTGATTTATCTTATTTATTCATATATATTTACATGACAAATCTGATATGGAATCGATCTTAAAGTTTGAGATAGTAAGATTGTCAGTAAATAAAACTAGAAACGTTCCAAGAGAAGAGAGAATCTCTAATCGATCAAGGTGAGTGAATCTTGAATTCATATTTTTGTGCACGAGATGGAATTTGGAGCAGATGTTGATTGCATCTAATAAATTAATCGAGAGAAGTCTTCATCTTGATAACGACACTTGTCACCACATGGTTCATTTTATTTATACATCATATCGTTTTATAGCGCTATCTTCGAAATCGGAATATCCTCGCAAGATATGTATATAGAACGGTTTCGATATATTCGAATTTTGCGTCCGGGTATCCCGCAAAGATAACGTAAATAAACACGGATGACCGTTCTGAAATGTTACAAACTTTCTGTCGGTGAAAAGTTCGTCAATTGTCGGGAAACGTGGAAGCGAAGCAGTTGATTTATCCTCCAGAATTTTCCCAATAATTAAAGTTCAAGTCGCAGATTGCAATAACTTGCGTGGAGCTCAGTATCTATTGTTAATGATAACATAAAATGTTGGAGACATATTTAGGGTATATACTTGTACTTTGCCAGTTCCAAATCTTCCTATTCATATTTTTTGTGATTGTCCGCAACGAGACAATTTGGCACACTATGAAATTTATAATTTCCACAACAATATATTGCTGCATTTATATATTTATTATTATGTCGTGGCATTACATTTACAATAAGTATTACGATAAGTCAATTTATCAGACTAAAACAATTGGAATTGTTCCGACTGGATTTGAAGAGAAACCTCTGATCAAGCGTGGTGAGTGAATATATTTTCGTAGAAAAATTTGGAACGTATATTTATCGCATCTAGACAACTTTTATTGCGAAAGAAAAGAAATTAAAATAAAGGTAAAAATGAGATAAATAAATAAGATAAATACCAATTGTATTTATGCTAACATGAAGAGCGCGGCCAATTAATAGAAATAAATGTAATTTTTCATCTTAATTATTCTACATAGTTCATTTTATTTAAATGTCAATTTGTTATAGTACCTTGTTTAAGAAAATCACGATTAGTAAGCGAATCTTGAATTTTCATGCATGAAATAAAATTTAAAACGTGTGTTGATTGTGTTTACTGAGTTTGTAATGGAAGGATAAATAAGGAGAAATTATGATCAAAATGATTTTGAAATATACTTGAGAATACAAAAGTGACAACTAATTAATTAGAACAAATATCATCACATTCACTTTGGCAGCAACTTTCGTTTTCGCATGCTTCATTTTATTCATACATTGATTCGTTACAATTCTGCTTTTATGTATTTATTTCAATTAATGTTCGTAGAACTTGCTTATATAGAGATGGCTTTGAAAGAGAAAATTGCAAGAAAAATTCTTAAACGAATGAATTCAAAATTCATTCATTTTTTCCCTAGATCGAAAAAGTAAATTCTTCATTTTCAACATGTTAAATATCCCGATATTTGAATATTAAATAAAGTTTCTATTAAACTAAATTCCATTTACAATTACTTAAGAAATGCACTTATTTACTTATTTACAACTTAATTTGCCGGAAAACTTTTACTATATTCGATAACTAAGTGCCTCTAGAATTTAAATTCTCGACGAGGAACAATAAATTTCAAACTCGTTGAAAAAATACAGTATCTTTAATGATTCTCGTATTTTCAAAATCACCTTGTATTCGTCCCGTCCCGTCCCGCTTCCTTTATTGCTCCGAGATAAACAGCGGGAAACGGAAACACACAACAAGATATTTAAAAAACTTTTCGAGTCAAAACATCTTCATTAGACATATGTACTTCGATATATGTCTATAACTTTGTCGTTTCGATGTATGTTCGATCGATCGCAAAAAAAAGTAAGTCCAAAAGTCGAAAGATGACGCGAACTCGGAACAACATATTGAAAAATTCATACCTAATAAGAACTTCTAATAACGACTTCCTAAGTAAGTTGATACAAGATGGACAGTGTCTAACAGAGGTAGTAGCAGCGATGCTTTCTCGACATGATCAACGGTTCTCCATTTCTTTTTCTTCTTATCTAATCAGTTCTTCCGCCCACCGCGTCTCTTCATCGAAGACGTGCACTGGGGGCAGTACCATTTACCCTTGGGTGGCGCACTGATGCCCACGCAAGCGTAATGAAACCACTCGAAGGGACACTAATAACATAATTAACGTCGTTACAAAGTTTATCCGCTCTAACGTATTTCGAAAATATCGACAAAACTTACGTCTGAATTGTCGCAGGCGACCATATCGCCATACGACACTTGATTGCATATGCAATATCGCGGCTCGTTGGGATCGCACGTCCATTCCGGATTATCTGGGTCCACTACTTGCATAGTTGTTGTTACTACGGGCGGCGATACAG